TGAACATGGATACCTCTTCGAGCTCATCTCCAGTCACCATTACTCACACAAACCCTTCTCAGATCAACTCAGCCTCAAATCTTCAGATTATTCAACCTCAGGCTCAGATCATCACCACGAAGCTATCTGAAAGTAATTATCTCATATGGAAGCAGCAAATCTTGGCCGCAGTAAAAGGCTATGGATTAGAAGGTTATCTCTTTGGCACTCTCTCTGTTCCACCGAAATTCACAAAGAAAGAAGGTTCAGAAGACCTAGTGCTAAATCCAGAATGCCTTGCTTACCAAAGACAAGATCAACTCCTAGCTTCTTGGCTTTTATCCTCAGTTTCAGAGACTCTTCTTGTGCTTCTTGTGGGTGTTGAATCAGTTCATGAGATGTGGAAGACTCTTGAGATGAACTACTCAAGTCAGTCCCTAGCAAGACAGATGCAATACAAACTACAGCTCTCTACAATGAAGAAAGGCAGCCTCACCATGAGAGAGTATGTTAACAAGATCAAGCTGTGCTGTGACTCTCTTGCCTCTACTGGACAGAAAATCAAAGAAACTGATCAGATCCTTCATATTCTTGCTAGCCTTGGCTCAGAGTACGACTCAGTTGTGGTAACTGTTACCTCCAAACCTGATTCCTTTACGTTGAATGAAGTTTGTGCTCTACTCTTAAGTTTTGAGTCAAGATTGGAAGCTGCTGGAAGTGTTACTATTGAGGATAATCATGTGCTGTCTGCAAATATTACCTCTCAAACCACTAAAAAGGATGGAAACTACCCCTCTAACTCCTTTGGAGGAAGAGGAAATCAAGGTTTTAGGGGTGGTAGATCAGGTAGAGGCAGAGGCAGAGGTAGAAACAACCAAAGAAGTGCATGTCAAATCTGTCACTACACTAATCACACGGCAGATAAGTGTTACTATAGGTGTGACCTCAACTTTACACCTAACTCCTCAAATCAGAACAATCAAAGGAACTTCTTCAGAGGTAGAAATCAAAGTCTTCAGGCAATGGTGGCACAACAGGACTCAAGCTCAGTTGTTTCAGATGGTGCATGGTATCCAGATTCAGGAGCAACCAATCATGTCACCTATGACATGGGAAACCTAACCTCAGCTTCAGAATATCAAGGCAGCAACAAAATGCATATGGGAAATGGAACAGGTCTGCCTATTACACATGTTGGGTCATCTCATGTTCAGTCTAAAACAAGCAACTCAGTTTTTCTTCTAAAACATCTTCTGTTGGTGCCAAATATAACTAAAAACCTGATAAGTGTCTCTCAGTTTGCCATGGATAACTCTGTCTACTTTGAGTTTCACCCTCAATTCTGTTTTGTTAAGGATCAAACCTCGGGGGAAGTGCTACTTCAAGGGAGAGTTAAAGATGGGCTCTATCAGTTTGGTGACCTAGGCTGTTCCAAGAAGACTCCTCAAAGTTGCAGTTTGAGTGCAGATTCTTGTAATAAAGTTAGTACTTTTGCCTATGTTTCTATGCTTTCCAAGAAGTCAAACTATAATGTCTGGCATCAAAGACTTGGACATCCTTCTCTTGATGTGGTAAACCAAGTGCTAGTTAAGTGTAATGAACAAGTGAGCAGTACTGAAACTCCTTCATTATGTGATGCTTGTTGCAAATCTAAAATTCATAAATTGCCCTTTCCTGAATCTCAGTCCACTTACACCTGTGCTTTTGAACTTGTTCATTGTGATTTATGGGGACCTACACCAGTGCATTCATACACAGGTCACAAATACTACATCAGCTTTGTTGATCAATATTCTAGGTTTACTTGGATTTATTTTCTTAAGAACAAATCAGATGTCTTGCATGCTTTCATTCAGTTTAAGAGCATGATTGAAACTCAGTTTAATGCTAAGATCAAAATTTTACAAAGTGATGGTGGTGGTGAGTTTCAACCCTTTACTCCTGTTCTCAAGACTCATGGCATCATTCACAGACACTCATGCCCTTACACACCTCAACAAAATGGTTTGGTTGAGAGGAAAAATAGGCACATTGTTGAGGTAGCACTTTCTTTACTTGCTCAGTCTGGAGTTCCTTACACTTATTGGGTAGATGCCTTCAGAACTTCTGTCTATCTCATCAATAAACTACCAACTAGAGTTCTGCATGGAAAATCTCCTCATGAAGTCTTGTTCAAAGCTGATCCAGCTTATAGCAGCTTGAAAGTATTTGGATGTCTATGCTATCCCTATATCAGACATCTCAATAAGAACAAAATGCAGTTTAGATCTTGTCCTGGAACCTTTATTGGATATGAAGATGGGTATAAAGGTTTCAAGGTTCTTCTCTCCACAGGAAAGATTCTCATTACCAGACATGTTGTGTTTGAAGAAACTCAGTTTCCTTTCCTCAAAAACAAGGACACAAAGGATCCCTTTAAAATATCTCATCCTCAGTCCATTATGGGGCCTCCTTTAGTAGAAATGCAAAAGGGTCATGAAGTTTCTACTCCTTCTGTGCCATCTCACACCGTGTCCACTCCTTCTCACAGAAACATATTGACAACACCTCAGTCCAGTGACTCTCATTCTTATACATCAAAAAGAACTCTCACTCCCAGCTCAAGCAACTCAACAATTCCATTAGTTGTTGACTTACACATTGAACCTGAGAACACAGGGAATCATCATCCCATGCTAACAAGAGCTAAGAGAGGAATCTTTAAACCAAAGGCTCTTACTCATACTCTAAATGAGGAGTTTGAACCTCAGACTGTTGAGCAAGCCTTATCCTCTCAAAACTGGAAAAGTGCCATGGACAGTGAATACACTTCCCTTCTCAACAATAATACCTGGTCCCTTGTCATATTACCACATGACAAACCTATAGTAGGTTGTAAATGGGTTTATAAGGTGAAAAGAAACAGTGATGGCAGTCTTGCTAGATACAAGGCAAGACCTGTAGCAAAGGGCTACACTCAAAATGCAGGAATAGATTTTGAGGAAACCTTTAGTCCTGTGATTAAGCATGTTACAATCAGGACAATTCTTGCTATAGCTGTCACCTTTGGATGGAAAATTAGACAACTTGATGTCAACAATGCCTTCCTCCATGGAGAATTAGAGCAAGACATCTACATGCAACAGCCTCCAGGTTTTGAAACAAATGGAGAGAGTAGACTTGTATGCAAGCTGAACAAAGCCATATATGGGCTTAAGCAAGCACCTAGAGCATGGTATAATAAACTCAAACAGAAACTTATCACTGCTGGCTTCTCATGCTCTAAGGCTGACCACTCACTCTTCTATAAGATCAAAGGAGGCTGTTATCTTCTTGTTCTTGTATATGTAGATGACATTATTGTCACTGGTAGCAATGAGGAAGAGATTACAGAGCTTATTAGTTTGCTACACAAAGATTTTGCTCTAAAAGACCTAGGAATCTTGCATCACTTCTTGGGAATTGAGGTTACCTCAAATCAACAGGGTCATCTTCACTTAAATCAATCTCACTATGTGAAGGAACTTCTGAAAAAGGTCAATATGACTCAAGCTAAAGGAGCTGATACTCCAATGACCTCTTCACATCACCTGTCCAAACATCTTGGAGAGAATTCAGTTGATGCTACTCTCTACAGGAGTGTACTAGGTGCATTGCAGTATATCACAATCACAAGACCTGAAATCAGCTTTGCTGTCAATAAGCTAAGTCAATTTATGCAAACTCACCTTGACACTCACTGGAAAGCAGTAAAAAGGCTGCTGAGATATCTTGCTGGGACAACATCTTTTGGTCTGTCCTTTTCCAAATCACCAAATATGAACATCATTGCCTATTCTGACTCAGACTGGGCCACTGATATTGATGACAGGAAGTCTGTTACAGGTTTTTGCATCTACCTTGGTGATAATCTTGTTTCCTGGTGTTCAAAGAAACAACACTCAATTTCCAGGTCTAGTACAGAAGCTGAATTTAGAAGTCTTGCTCATTGCAGCACAGATGTTCTTTGGCTTACTTTTTTACTTAAGGAACTTCAATTCCCTCTGTCTACAATACCAGTGATCTGGACAGATAATATTGGTGCTGAAGCTTTGTCCTCTAATCCTGTGTTACACTCTAAAGCAAAGCACATTGAGTTGGATCTATATTTTGTTCAAGATAAGGTGAATCAAGGCTGCTTTTCTGTGAGACATGTGCCTTCTATTGATCAGACAGCTGATGTCCTTACTAAGCCATTGCCATTACAATCTTTCACAAGGCTGAGAAATAGTCTCAAGGTGCTTCCTCTACCTTGCTCAGATTGAGGGGGGCTGTTAAACATAAAGCTTAATGATATATGGCTCACATGCACCAAGCCTCACAGTTATATTTCCCATAGTACATGTCTCACCTTTATACAGCAACATGCAACGTTCATGTCCTTAGCATTTAATGCTTATTGTCCTTTATGATGACTAAGCTTTCCCTTTAGGGTTTATTACTTGCTCTAGTATAAAAGTCTTGTAACCTCTTATTGATGTAAGTTGGAATGATAGAACAATGTTCATCTTTATTGTTATCAAGAATGTTTTCCTATTTCATGAAATCTTTCAGTTTAGAGTGACCGTCTTCTCTTGGCCCTGTTGCTAGCTGCTCCAGTACACCTTCACCATCTCCAGTCAGATTCCAAGTCGCGGCGAGCAGATGGACGAGTGGTCTAGACGAATTGCTAGGGTTTTTTTTTTTCTCGCTTTTCGATTGAGTTTATTGCCTGCGGATAGTTAAAACTTAATCTACAAGTTACTAAAACAGACTCAGAAGTTGTATTTCAAAGAAACAGATATAAGTAGAATTTTTAGGAAAAATCAAGTTTCTTACCCAATTATAGCAAGCTTTTGGAGGGGAAAAAAAATTACCTACTTAGCTTTTATATATATAGATATAGATGTTAACAGGAATTTGTATACTTAATTATGAGTTGTTTACAGTTCATCCAGTTGGCAGTTAATAGTTATCCTATTTTATATAACTTATAGTAAATTATTACTCATATCGATAATCTCATGGCAGATAATTTAGCCATGGCAAATCGTACTCTTACATCCCAGTTAGAGGAATTTGAAGATGACGACATGAGAGAGATTGTATTCTCGTCCGAGGGAGCCGAAACAAGGTACTACTCAATTTTTGTTAATAAATAATGATTGATATACATGTCATGTGTTCTTCTTTTTGTATTTAGTTTTAAATTTTGTTACTGCATGCTTCTAATTCTGTTATTATATTTCTAGTATCGTTGTTAAACTGGTCTTTAAATTTTGGCATTGAAAACATATGCGTATGTGACAAGAAAAAATAAAATCGGTCCCGTTATGGACAAGAAAAAAAATTAACAGTGAGGTCCAGTTTGGTCATGGTTTGGGCTAAAACCGGATCAATCCGGACCGTGAACACCCCTACTTTTGATATGTCGTCCACCGGGTCATTCTTTCATAAAATAATAATAAGTACTACTGGAGTACCCATGTATTACACGGGTGTTGAATTAGAAAACTTTTGTAAAAAATATTATATTTTTTATTTTTTAAACTAAAATAATTTAATTTTATATAAAAAATTACTTTTGATTTTAATTAAATTGTCAAATTATATTTTTTTAATAATAATAATTAAACACCCGTACATTAAATGAAAATGTCACCCCGTGTCGAATTTTTTTACTTATATCATATAAAAATATTGATACTATTTACTATTACATAAGTACAAAAATATATGTCTTAAATAAATAGAAATAATATGGTGATATGTATATGCATAAGTGTAGAATATGTTTATTTAATATTAAGCAAAATAGATTAATTTTTTTACTTAATTAGATGCCTAATACATCAAGTGTCATATCAGTCGTGTTTCACAGTTTTTTAACGTTATATGTAATTTTAGAATTTATATAAATAATCATTTATTTTATTACATTGACAACATAACAGTTAGGTTTGAAATAAATATCATATTTAAAAGAATACATACCAATTTTTATTACTTTATAATATAATTTATAGTTTTATTTAATATAATTTAATTTAGTTTGATAAATAAATTTAAATTTTATTTTATAAGGATATAAATTACTATTTTGTAAAATAGTAAAATACAAACGGACTTCATAATATCAATTGATCAAGTGCAACACATTAAATAAGATTTTTTTTCTTGACAATATTAACCCTATTTAATGGATGTCATGGAAAACGATGGAGTTATATGAAGAGACACTGTGTATTAGATGGAGGGTTAAAATTGGAAAAATATGAACAAAATATCTAAAAACATTTATTTTATCAATGATCAATTAAGCCAAAGTGACAAATAATAAAAATAGCAGGGAGTATATATTATTATATATTTTAGTATGACACATGTTACTTGTGCGACTTATATGTGTTATATTATAATAAATTTTTTACCTTATAATATATAACAACATTATTCATAAATATATTAATTGATAAATAATTTTATTTTCGAATTAATTTTAATAAATATTATTATTATTATAAAGATAAATATAATTTATTTATTTTATATATACAATATGGATGTCAAATCGAAGCTCATCAAAAGATGATTAATTTGATAAACCGATAAGAAATACAAAAGTTATCAACTTTTAAAATATATTTGCAATTCAATGGTTATAATAGAAAATGATATTAAATTACAATTAATACAAATATTAATTTATATCCAAGCCTAACTTCAAAACATGATTTTTAGACAAATAAGATTCTGAAGCATGAGAATTTGCCACGTAGGCTCAGCGCATTCTGCAATTATATATAGAGGGGATTGCCTTTGATATGGATTTGACAACTCATTGAATAAAAAATCATTTAATTAAGTAACAAAGTGTAAAATAATATAAGTTGTTATTAAATAAAATTACATTAAAATAAAGGAGAGTTAATTTTCTCCACAGAATTATAAGGATTTATATAAATATAATATTCAACTTACACATAATTATATAATTTTGTAAATAATAGTGTTCATACTTACTTATGTGTTAGGTTCATATAAATTTTCTTATAACTTATTTATTTAGCTTATTAGCTTGTTGCATTGAAATAAACAAAAATGAGGAGCAATTATTTTTATTAATTCATCCAAAGATACTTAATGTATGAGATAGACAAAGTAATTGTTGAAATATCATAAATTTCAAAAGCAGGGGCTTTTTTTTTATTATTTTTTGGTACAAAAAAAGAGGGGCATTATTCTTACATTTGGCCCAGGGCCTAAGAAAGACAAGGACCGGCTCTGCGGCAGGGCACACATATTAAAACTACATACCTAGATCATTAACACCTATAATCATATTTTTATTCTTGTCTTTACCTTCAGACTAGCAGAAGAACTCGAGGAGGAGCTTTCAGACAATAGGACACATGTTTGTACAGTGTCAGAAATTATGGTAAGTTTTTTATTTGAAGATCTTTTACAATGCAATATCCCTTATATGTGCTGAAGACTTGATTTGCTCAAAATCACAGTTAGAGGAATCTGAATCTGAGGACATGATAGAGACTGGAGTCTCGCACGAGAGAGCCGAAACATTAAGGTACAACTCAATTTTTGTCTGCATTGTTTCACGGTTAATGATTTGATATGCATATCATTGTTTAATAAATAATGATTGATATACATGTCATGTGTTCTTCTTTTTGTATTTAATTTTAAATTTTGTTACTGCATGCTTCTAATTCTGTTATTATATTTCTGTATATTTCTAGTATCATTGTGAAACTGGTCTTCAAATTTTGGCATTGAAAACATATGCGTATTTGACATTATTCACTAGACAAACATTTCTTAAAGAGTTAATTTATCACATGAAAAACCACACATATTAAAACTACATACCTAGGTCATTATTCATTAACACCTTTAATCATATTTCTATTCTTGTCTTTACCTTCAGACTAGCAGCACTCTTGCAGACGAGGGAGGAGGAGTTTTTAGAATTCAGAAAGAAATTCATGGAGCTCGAGGTTAGCTACAAAGAGTTGCATGAAAAATACAAGAAAATTGAACCAAGGTACAATGATCAACTCAATATTTGTGTGCATTCATATTGGTGTATGTTTCTAGTATCATTATCATTGTAAAGTTGATTTTTAAATTTTTGGCACAAATAATCACAAATCTTTTTTTAAAAAAAAATATATATATATATTTGGAAACATATGCACATTGATAACAAAGGTTTCTTACCGTGTTAATATATCACATGAAAAACACACATGTCAAAACTACATATCTATATTTTGAGCTTATTACACTACGCCAAAAAAGGCTTCCGATAACGTTTTTTTTTTTCAACTATAGAATTATCAAAGTCAGTATTATCTGAAGACCGATCTCTTCAGATAACGCTTAAAAAGCTCTATGTGAAGCAACTTTCACATAACGTTTTTTTATACTAAGTGTTATGTGAAAAGCTCTTCACATAACACTTTTTTATATTAAGCGTTGTCTATAATACTAATCAGATAACATTTTTTAACAGAAATGCTACCTGAGATGATGATAATATATAACACTTTTTTAAACAAGTGTTATCCATGTGTTATTTTTTTTTATGTATTTTGTGTCTGTATTCGTACCAATAAACAAGAACCAAGTGACTTAAATCATAAACCCCATGTACCAAGAAACAAGAATCAACCAAAAAACAACACTAACATGAATTAACAAAAATATACTAACACAATCCACCAATTTTAACATTGTACTCGTGTATGTACAAGAGAATAATGTAGCACCAAAATCATGAAAGAATTGTATCTTCAATTCCAATAAATCAAGAAAAAAGACTAATATTCCTAGTAAAAAAATTCGCCCACCATTAGCCACTGAGCAAACAAGTTTTGATGGCATATATTAATATCAAATTTAAGGCTTTTCATCACATCTTATAAACAAAAATATAAAAGAAAATGTAATAGGAGTATAACAAAATACATACCTGTTAAGTACGCAAATCTATCAAAATTACAAATTGAAAATAAACGACTAAATCATTATCTATTAATTCTAATTCGTAATAGATCAGAAATTTAAGATAACAATAACAACAAACGAAACGACACTAAATATAACAAGGAGTACTACTAAATATAACATTATTATTTATAGTTTAACCAAAATACCAAAAAATTAGTTGGTAATGGAATGACAAAAAAATGAGTTTAAATTCAATTACCTCATCTGAGATTATCATTTCATCACAAATAACTATGAGTTCAATAAACTTCAAAACGTAGTACCCACAATCTACACCGTTAGCTTGTTGGGGACACTAAAAGAAAAAAAAAATGTTAGTATGTACATATATAAATCAACATCTACTACAAATAACATCTTGAAGTACCTTAACTTTTTTTANACTCGTAATGCGCTAGTAAAAATAAAAGGACAATAGAGTTACTGGAAAAAACAACAAAAAGCAAATGCACCGTAACAATCACATATAAATTTAACTAGTGGTTTACCGGCTATGCACGCACAACCAGCTCAAATTTAGTCAATAATCAACTTAAAATTTGGTTAAATTTTTTAATGGTGTAAGGCTCAAATGTAGGAAAGCCAAATTTATACAACTGTAACAACTCATAAACTTGCTAGTAATTCTAGCTTTACGTACTCCAAACTGGAAGAACATAAAGGTAAAAAAAACATGTTCTGTCAATTTGATTACAACATAGCCAAACTCAGCAAGTCTAATACTGGAATATAGCATTCAACATTGCCTGTACATAGTAAAATCCTAAAGGGATAACAAATGAATTTTCAATATGTTGTCTGCCAATGATATCTTAGCCAAAGCTCTAATAAATTTACAACATATATCAAGTTCATGTTGAATCGTGAACTAAACCGTTATACACGAATTGAAACTAATGAAGACTTTGACCCAGGCAAAGTGAAAGGACTTAATACTGAATTCTGGATTGGCCAAGTACGCAGCGGGGTACCAGATAAAACTTATAGCACCTGAAAATAAAACAGATATTATTCTAGCTCCCAAAAGATTATTTGGATATATAAATGTAAATTTCATGCTTAATAGTTAATAAGTATAAAAGAATACCATGTTTGCAGGTTGCATTGAGTAAACAATGCCCTTATAAACCACAAGCTCATGTAATAGAATTGACAAAAGGGAGAAAATCATTAGATTCTTGTGGGTGGTGAAATGTATTAAAAACAGTAAAAGTCACCAATAAATTAATTCACAAGCATATAGTAAACTTTATATTGGAGAATATGGGGTGCTGACAAAATCCTGTATGTTGACCTGCCAACAAATGTACTTCACCAAATAATTGTTTGATTTGTCTTGCCAAAACATGTGCAGAAAACTTCATTTGACAGTTNTTAATCTCTAAATCAGGGCACTTGAATCTATAAGGATCCAAAAGTTAATAATATATTTTATGATATAAATATATTTTATGATACAATAACAAAACAGCAATTTTGCAATAATAAACGCACAAGAAAAAGCTCGGAAATAGAAAGCACTCCACCTTATCCAATTCAACAAACATCCAACCTCGTTCTCCTGAATCAATTCATGCTTAACATTGAGTAACATATTTCAGGGTAAAAAAATAAACCAGCAATTTTCGTATTAATAATAAAAATACAATCAGAAGCTCCAAAACATAGAGAATTGCACCTCATCAAAGTGAACCCCTCACTCAACGTCATTCTCCAAACCAATTTAGTTGGTCGTGGATTAGCAGGAAGAAGCAAATTAGCACAGCATGACACATAACAAAAAAACTACAAATTCACAAAATATTTATATTGTACTTCGAAAAATCTTCCGAACATTGGTCATTTACAGTTGACGTAAGGGAGAAGACAATAATAGAGTTGTGCATACCCGATAATAAAGAAAGCAAAGATATTATGATAAAATTAAACCCCTATTTGTCTTCGATTTCAAATTTCATGCTACGGCCCCACCTAGAACTCATGCTTCACTGAACGACGACCCTGAGAAGATAACAATTTGGATAGATATTACCAGTTAGAGCAACAGGAGGGCCGAACAGGCACCTTGAGTTTCCTCTTCAACAAACCATTTAAATCTTTGTCAGGCATTCTCCATCCTTGCAAGGATCTAAGCAATATCCGAGATTAAAGAAAAAAACATAAAAGTAATCGAGTTAATGTTTGTATTGGGAACAGAAATAGTAATAAATTCCAAACACCAAATACCAAATCAGTTTTTAGTGTTTTCAGACTCTTGCTTCTGAAATATGAAAGGAAGCTGGATGTGCTTAAGAGGTTTCTGTTTTAGCACATCTGCAGCTTTTGCACCGAATAATCTTTCACCTATTCAACGTTTAACTTCTAAATGTAGACATTACCAACCTATCATTGATGATTTTTTCGTTCTGCTGCAATAAATTCCTTTTAAGAGTATACATTTCCTAGAAAAAAATTCCGTAAATGTGACTACTAAAACTCCAAATAATATGAATAAGTAAAACAACCTACTGTGAATTACAATAACCCTGCATAATCACATGAAAGTAACAGGTAATTATGACAGGCAATTAACTTGAATATGAGTACTGGGTCAAGATCCTGTAGACGCTTTTATAGACGTGAAAACTAAGCACTATGTTGTACCACATTATATGTAATGATACATTATTAATTTCAAATACAATTGGTTAACAAAAAACAAAAAAAACCAAAATTAAGAATTTCACTAACTTTTTTCAAGAGACTGCCTAAATAGAAGGAGAACAGGCACTCTTACAAAGATGCCCTCCTTCGGGCTCGACTATACCTCTCGATGATACATCGCGACTGACCATGACCTTAAAGCTCTTTCTATGTTGCTATTCCTGGTCTATAATCAAATAAAATGTAGGCTGTTCTGAAGAGCTGCAGTATTTAAAGATCCATAGTTGAAAAAAGATATATAACTGAGCAAAAGCATACCATGATGATTTGTAGGTTCATCAAGCAACAATACAGTAGGGTTCATGAAAAGAGCTCTTGCCATAGCAATACTCATCCTCCACCCACCAGAAAAGTCACGTGTTTTCTTTTCTTGCATTTTCTTGTTAAAGCCAAGACCAAATAAGATCTCACAGCTCGTTTTTTCAGCAGTCGATGCATCCAATGCATCCAGACGTTCATAAATACGGTCAAGAGCTTCACCACATCCATCATCCTGTGATAAATATAAAAATTATTAATACCTCATCAGCTGGCCATCTACAAGACACATAATTCTGGTGTGTGTGTGTGTGTGTGTCTGTGTGGATATACTTGTACCTGTCAAGCCAATGGTTCGGCCTCTTTCCCCAGTTTCAGCCTCTCCTCATCACAACTTATAACAGCCTCAGGTGAAGACATGTCAGATGCTCCATTCTCTCTAGTCAGGTGATAAATATCCTTGTGTTCAGGGATAGGAAGCTCTCTCTCGACAACCAATTGCTGAAAGAAGTGTGGACTTCCTGCATCCATTTAACCCAAGCAAACCATAACGTCAGCAAAGAGGCATCAGATTTCATGTAAATAATAGACGTCATTTTAACTATCAACTCTATGATCCCCACTTATTTGCCGCAACAAGTTCCAGTTCAGAATCAACAATTAGGTCATGACCATGGAAAGTGAGTGAAAGTGATTCTACTTACAAAAGAACCAAGTAAAATTAGTTAACAAATTTATACCTTGATGTAAAAAAAGATTTAACAACACCAGAAAACTCGATCTCTCTCACTCCAAATTCTTCTTGTTTCTTGCCTCTGCTTTCTAATGTCGCCGACTCAGCTGTACTCTATATGTCACATCGTCATCCATCAGGACAGTGCTAAATTATCTGACGGTAAATCTGCTTTGCCCCAAATTAAACGAAAGCGAGTTTTTAGTAGGAGCTTCAATCCCAGGGTTACTACCAAGACCAATTGAACACGATTCTTGTTTCTTGTGCATGTGGGCATACCTGGCTTCTTTCTTCCAATCTCTCTGACAATGAACACAGGTCAGGCAATTGGGGGAAGTGGAACCTACTGAAATCTCCACATCCACTGCACTAATATAAACTCGGAAGACATCTGCTGGTAATGAAAACTCCAAACGAATTAAAAATCCAATCTTTCTAATTAAGCCCTTGTAAAATTTATGAAAACTCAAACAACTTTGAGCAATAGAATTCATGGCGTAGCAGTATGATTCTCCTATTAAATTAGCAAATAAGGGCAGCCACCTTCCTTTTGTTCAGAGATTGGGAGCAACTGATGTATTATTTAACAATAGCTATGGGAACATCCAAGAAATATTTTAAATGATACACCAATGCAATCTCAACCAATACTCTACATGTGAAAACAGAATCAGTGGACGTTCAGCTTTAAGCGGGTATTTGTCCTCAAGGAAATATCGAAATCTACATACACAAATTAAAAATCCAATCTTTCTAAAGCCCCTCATAAAATTTATAAGAAATCGAACAGCTCTGAGCAATCGAATTCCAAGCAAAAGGCTTTGAAAATCGACACTCCAGGGATTAATTCGATTACCTGCTCAACTGAAGATACAAGCAGTTCGTTGGTCTCCTCGCCCTTGGTCTCCTACTTCAGCTTGATTGACGATGAAATTCTCCAGGAATTGTTCTTATTGCAATCGATTGAGGATGAAATTCTCTAGGCACGCCGAGAAATAGGGTTTTCTTTACACAGTGTTTGGTTAGGAAATTTTATAATTTTTGTTCAATTTTTTGTGGGAGGAGGGATTGATATTTTCCCTTCGAATGTCTCCTACAACGGAAAATCTCCTCCCCTCGAATGGGGTAATTTGGAGGGGAAGAAAAATTTATCATATACAATTACTATATTATCCTTCATATCTAATTATTTTATTATTTTATTTCTTACATCATTAAGGATATAATTGTCATTTCTACAATATTTCTTTCCCCTCCCTTATTCTAACCAAACAAGGTTTACCATTTTCCCTTCACTCCCCTCCTACAAAATCCCTTCAAACAAAATAAAATTATTTTACATCCCCTCCCCTCCCCTCCCCTTCCTTCCATTAAAATCCCTCCCCTCCCCTCCCCTAAGCTGNGTCCCCCGTGGGCATGGGTACATGACTTGATCGACCATGATCTCATCGGGGTATCCCATCCCCGACGAGTCCTAGCTTAATCAACCCTTAGGCCTCTGGCCTCCCTTTTTGTAAAAAAAAAAAAAAAAAAAAAAAAAAAACTTAAATTACTTTGCTTCATAATAGGTGTAGTAACATGCATTCTTTATTTTCAGGATTCCAATAAAGCTACCTACGTCGATGAGGATGATATTTGCTCTTATATCATGTGTGCTGATTGTGGCAATCCCATTATGGGTGATGATGCAGAAAAAATCCAAGTAAATCATGTCATCCTTATGGATTGTGTTTGTCATCTCGGTCCCTTATCTAATGATTCTACCGACTGTAGCCGCAATGTATAAGAATTGGATGTGTTTGTCAAATTCTTTTATGTGTTGGATAATAAATTCGTGGATGTTAGTGGCTGTGGTGGTAAGTGTGGATCTGATGAGTTGGATAGAGGTAGCTTTCTTCATTATTTGTCACCATACCATACTATCCATGTTTATGATCAGTAAGTATGAGCTACATGTTTTTTCGGAGTTCAGGGCCATTATAATGGAGGTGTTTAAGAATAATTTGTACACCAGTCATTTGGGCGTTATATTGATAGTTATATGTACTGTTTTGATCGTACTGCAACAGGGTTACCTTATGTACTCGCACACAAAGGTGGTTGACTGGTTAGTATGTATAGAGACTTATTGAGAGGAGTGAGTAGCTCTTAGAGCATCCACAATGCTTTGGGTCTCTTTTTGTATATGTGACATATAATTGGACTTGAGTTTTAAATGACATGAACAAACCTAAGTAAAAAAACTCAAAAACTTTGCAATGCAAAAATAAAAAGACTAGTATGTCAACCAATAAAAATGCTCTAATATGTTTTATTCATTAAAAAAATTAAATTAAGAACAAATGATGAGCGTTTGGGTTTGTACTTGGGTCCAAAATAGACCCAAGTGTGGACTTTGTCTCTTTTTTTCATTGCCACATAAGCTAGACCATGTCCACTTTTAATTGCATTGGGAAGTATTTTTTTATAGACTAAGTCTATTTCCATGTGCATGTTATTTTTTGTTAAGAGATCCCAATGTAGCTGCTCTTAGAACCAGCCCGAAAATTCGCACGTCCCTTTTTCTCCCTCATTTCCCCTTCTCTCTTCAGTCCTGCTCTCTCTGAATTTTTTTTGCACGTTTTCCTTTTCTCCCACATTTCCCCTACTCTTTTCAGTCCGAATCTCTGAAATTATAGATTGCCATATCTCGGCTCGGCTTTGAGCCGTCGATTTACGCACCGACCCCAATGAGCCAACTTTTGGCTACCGGCGAGTAGTTAAGGTTCGAGCTGAGCAGCGGCTGTTTCGGTACCCCTTCTCAAACCCTCGCCATCTGCAAGCTTCTCGACGTCGCCTCTTCGTCTTCTCCCTCTTCATCGCCGTCGTGGCGCCACTCATCGACGACCAGGCGTGGCCCCCGGAACACCCCCTTCCGTCGTTTCTGTCGGACCTCAATACCTGGCACGCACAGGGGTACGCCGACTACCTGGTCACCGAGAAGCCGCACTTCTTCTGAAGAGATTGTTTGAGTCTAGCTGATTTTCCAGTGGCCTCTTGCGGTCGACTGCGTCTATGGAATTCCCGCCGGGAAATTTTGGCTGGGCACCACCTGTTTGTTGTACGAGGCTTCAACTCTGACTTCAATAGTAAAGCTCTCATCTTTTTGCTACTTTTTAACTATTATTGTTGTGATCTCAGTTTTTAGCCTCCAAATTGACTGTTTGTTGTGATTGTACAATATGTGGTTAAGGTTATGCTTTGTGTGTGTGTGTGTCTGTATGTCTGCAAAGTTCATAATTTGGGAAGAACACAGTGTTGGCGTGCTTAACTGAAGCTATAAGAAACATTGGTGTATTTTCCGGTCGGTAAGGTTTATTTATCTGTCGTGTGTTTGGGCAAACTTTTTGACCTATGCCTGGAGCCTATTAATCTACAGGCTGGTCCTGACCTTCTGGAGCTGTGGTCGAACTCTAAGGCAGAAACAACTAGATTTGTGTTAATCTATTTATATAAGGTTAAATTTTCCTGATTATATTTGGTCATGGGATGGGGATTGACCTAATCGTAGTTTTTTTTATAGGATTTTCAAATCATTTATAGTCTTTACATAGATTTCGAATGTGTTAGTGTTTTCGAGAATTTAGTATGTAAGTTTGGTTTTCACTTGCTGGTAAAATCAAATATAGTGAAACCATTAACATGTTTCTCTTCATGCACCACACGGTTCACAGCACAACACTCTCAAGTAACATTCCCTGAAACCCCCTCGAAAGCTTTGAAAGATGTTGATAGGTCAAAAAATATGCGCGTTTTATATATTTAATAGTGTATTTTTATACACTTACTTTTGTACGTTTATATTTTTCGACTTATTTATTATTTAGATGGATTCATATACATTGATATTTTTAAATTTATTTTCAGCTCATTGGAGTATTTTATGGACGCAAAGCATTGGACGGAAGTTCACATAATCAATTATCGAGACGTCCGATCCCGTTAATTTGACCCGCCGCTGAACAAGAAACTTAGGCCCAATTTGCATGGCCCAAGAGATTAATTAGAAGATACTCAATACACACGCAGCCCTCATTTATTTAATTGGAGGAGGTGCATAGTTGATGAGGATTTATTTGCGGAGAGTTGTGTACATTGAGGTGACTTAGGCCATTCAAAACAAACTTGGAATTTATTTGTGGGAGAGTGAAAAAAACGCGAGGAAGGCATTATTTACAAAGAAAGGGAGGATATATATTTTACAAAAAAACAAAAAAGCCGGACGGAAAGGAGGATTTTATTTGCTGGGATTATCATATTTTCACGAGAGCACAAAGGAAGAAAAAAAAAGAACACAGACAGAAACTCACACACGTACGGACCGAGAGAGAAGATCACCTAAGCGGAGGGAAGCCGCACCCGCACACGAGGGAGATTTTATTCTCTCTTTTATCTATTTTTTATTTTTATTAGTATTTTTTATTTTTATTAGTATGTTAGAGTAGTTTTTTATCCAATTTGAGGGGATGTTTGAATCCTAACTTTGATTTGTCTATGGATTGAAGGATTTTTATTTATCATTAGTTAATTAAGATCCCGTATTTATTTGTTGACGAGTTGTATTTATTTTTGTTGACGAGTTGATTCATGCTATCTGTGTTTAACGTTTATGAATTATGGTGTCTGATTTAATTTGGCCAGCTAGATTGAACATTCATAGTTTATTGCTAGATTTGGGACTTTAATCCGTAATTGTTATTGTCTCGTTTCATTAGTAGTAAACTAGAGGTCGTGCATCTCTAGGGTAGCGTGAACATAAGTTAAATGGACCAAGCTTTTACGTTTGTTGCTTAGATTAATCTATTTTTCTAGGAATTAATGCTGCTAGTGCACTAAATCTAGAGAGCTTATTCTAGGTTGTCTGCTAGTTAGGTTTAGTCGAAGAGCCCATTTCGATTAAATATTCAGTAAGGGAAATTCGGTTAACAGAGCTTGTTGTTAGCTAGGGTTGGTAATTCGTCGGCAATTTAGAGAAAGCGTCGAAATTAATTAAGGGTAAATTTAGATTGTGTGATAACTGAACCGAAAACTAGACTTCTCTTATTTTATTTGATCTCTTATTTTATTTTATTATTTTTATTTTTATTTTTATAAAATCAATCCCCCCATATTTGTTTGCTTTCATAGTTTAAGTCAATTAATACGAGAATTGTCACAATTTAATTCCTGCTCCTCGTGGGATCAACCCTTATTCGCCACTACTACTAGTTAGTAGAGGTTAGTCGAGGAAAACTTTTATAAATATAAATTTGCCGCGTCGCGACGCGCTGTCACACCTCCTTTTGAGGTTGGTGCAGGCAAGCGGCCCGTGACGGGGATGAGATTGTCCTCCGACCTACAGCCACGACCACCGATACTTCGAGAATGTACAGTGGAAGAACTTCTCCCACGTGTGCACGGCCGCTGTTGAGTTGGAAGAGGATCTATCCATGTTGACCGAGGTCAGCTGCTGGTTGCGGGGCACGGCTTTGGGATTGTGCTCCTCCTCTGCCTCCGGTCGACCGTGGCTGGGGTCGTGGCTGTCAGTACCCCAAGTGGGCCTATCTGAGAAAGTTGGGAGAAGTAGAAAGTCCATTTGAAATCACTGAAAAATGAAAAGGTAAAAAGTAGAGTTAGCACCAACCATTTACCTTCAGACAGACAAAGCCTAAATATATGTTTTTTCCCCTGCTTTGATTGCTAAATTTCCTCGACTAGCTCCAAATTTCTCTTAGCAGATTTATGTTAGATTATAACTAATGTTTGAGTTTTGCAGTTGCACTCACCTGGACGGAGCCGCGGTGGTCGGGAGGATGTCGGCTGCGACGTCGGATCAATCGGCGCCACACGCTATCAAGGACCAGGTCCCCGCATCAATTACTGCATCAACAACAATCCTTCATGTCGTAAGCACAATTAGTTCTCTCTTCCTCACGCATTTTGAGCCTACGCATTCAAAGGCCGCCATTATTCATTTCATGCAAGCAAAAGGATTTTTAAGTTTCACTGCATGCAGCTGATAGATGATTTTTTTTGTTCTAACTGGGAATTGAGGTCAATCTTTGTTAACAGTCTAAATTGCGTGAATTCATAATTGAATTTTATTTTTTTGAAATTTAATAAATTAAAAACAATGCCTGAATTTTAAAATTTGTTGTTCATTGTATTAATCAGTAATGCCGCTGATCGGCTGCCTAATTGTTAGATGGTTATGCTGTTTCAACAAATTTACATATGGTCGTACTCATACATGGTACTATAAGAAAATAATACTCTAAAAATATGTCATTTGTTGTATATGCAAACTGTTGTGCAGCTGTTGCTTATAAGTATTACTTCCTAATTGCACTTTATATATATATATTTTTTCCCTCTTTGGTTCAAATTTTTTGTAATAGAGCTAAGATTAGGTTTTTAATATTTAGAAAATTAACTTTGTGCATTAAAGGAATTATTCTTGGATTTCAGCACTATTTAGTAATGCTTAGGACCACTGTGATAATTCCCACCATAGTTGTACCTTACATGGGTGGTACCAATGTTGGTGTTGTCTTCTCATCACTCAATCAAGATAATTTGTTCTGTATGTATAGCTGTGTTTGTAATTAACTAATTATTGAATTGATGCTAATATATATTGATCTTGGTTCGGGTCCCGGCTTCCAGTGATCATTGGTGGCTCATTTAGATTCATGGTCTTGTCCCCAACTTTCTTGAGTTGGATCTGATTATCAATTTAATTAGTACTTCACGTGAAGATTCGGTATTTTTTAGGGCAAAGCATTTTAAAACCTTTTATTTGTCCATTTTTCAGATGTGACAGAGACATTGTTAGTTGAAGTCGATTAGATCTACCTTCTCGCTAGCATTGCTTCCCCAATTTTCTACAAAATACAACCCTGCGAAGGTCAGTGATAATATGATATATATTATTTTTAGTTCAAATATATTGTTGAATTATGTGTGATTGCTATTATTATTCTAATATATTTTGTAATGATTTGGTATAATACGGCACTCTGCATGTTGGTTTATTCTTTTCTCCTTTCTAATGATACTTAACAGACAATAAAGACTAATGTAATTGGGACGGTAAACATGGTGGGACTTGCAAAAAGAGTAGGTGCAAGGTTAGCAAACTGTACCATCTGATCTTTTTACCTTTATAACATTATCTGCAACCCTCTTATGATTGGTAACTGGAATGAAAAGATATGTTCTTTGCGTATGTGTTGGAAAATGTAAAAGCCAAGAAATTGAAGAAAATGAATACAGAGGTTTTGGGGCTGTGTCTGCAGAGTATTTTTGGCAAAAGTAAAGTGAAAATGTGCTGTTTGGTTTGAATCTCAGGGCTGTTTCATTGAGGAATGACAGAAAAAAACTGAGGTTTTTGTAATTGTCCGATTATTTTTTAGAAGGACTTCACTAATGGAGACTATTATTCAGTGACTCGATATTAATTCTCTTAGATAATTGATAAAGATGGCGAATAACATTGAAAGCAGAGAATAGGATTCTTATTTATTGGCAGTGAAGTTAAGTTGCATATTTTGGAAGGCCATTGAACTTGTTTCTTCTTTCATCTCTTTGTGTGTGTGTGTGTGTGTGTGTGTAGATTCCATTGCTTTTATGTGTTTATATATATATATATATATGCAATTTCTTTGATTTTCTGTGAAATGTAGTCCAGGCTGTTTTCACTTAGTGAGATTCACACAAAATCCATGAATTTGTAACTGTGCAATTCCATTCATGGAATTTCTGTGGTCTGCATTTCTGAAGCTCTTTCCGAACATGCTGCCGTCAACCTTCCAGGACAAGATGAAGGAACAGGTGTTGATATGGCTCATATATTGACAAAGGAAGGAGGCAGGCCGATGCCTGCGAGCGGAGCGGAGCGAGCTATAATATACACAAATTCGTATAATATATTTCTGTGAAATTAGTAAAAAAAAAATAAGAATTAATGGATGGATTGGTACAAAAGTATGATAAAAGAGATGTAATCAAAATCACTTGACATGTGATACATTACATATAGACAATGTTGATAGTAACAATATAAAACCGGTATACAAGACATATAAGACAATATCTACGATGTAAATATTCTCTCATAAAGTTCAACGTGAGATATTAGATTGTAATATTTATTATTTACTCAAAAAATATTTTACATACTTTTTTACACATTCAATACTTACACGTACATAATTAATATTTTAGATACTTTTTAGATTTTTTATTTTTTTTTGTTTGCCCATTCTATACATTAAAGTTTATATCTTTAGGTGCTTTTAGACATTTTGTCTTTACAAAATAGTTTAGTGGAAGTTTAGGTGACTTAACATTTTTTAAGAATAATGTAAAATATTTTAGATATCTTTACATATGTATTTTAGGTATTTTAATACATTAAACATACATGTTTTGTATTCTTTTGTACATGATAATTTGATAATTTTATATTGTACAACAAATCGATATACGTAAATTATATCACATTTAAATCCCAAATATTTGATTTATTATTCTTATTTAATGTTATTTACCTGCATTTTTAATTTATAATTATTGTTTAATATTATTTTCCTGTGCAACGCACGGGCAACGCACGGGCTACGCACTAGTAATAATTAAAATCTCGTGATATATTTTACTCAATTCTTGAATGTAATATTCATATATTTTAAGTGTTAATAATTAAAATATTACTCACCTTGATATTAACCATCTAATGGTCAAGTGAAATTCGTTAATTTTATTCACTTTGTGACTAAAATTAGAAAAAAAAATAAACAAACAAATGACGATTTTTGTTGGATCAAAATTCAATCCATTAAGATTATATTAAATAATGAAGTAGCTAAATGAATTGTTCAATTTTTCTAGTTTGTCAAATAATGTATAAAATTATATTAAAAACAAGAATTTTTTTTTTAAAACAACAATTCTATATCTTTTCAAAACTTTGTTGTTTAGGTTGATGTTGGGTTGATTTTTGGTAGATATGTGGAAGAAAGTCATTTCGTGAGAAATAATGGTGCGAGAATATTGTGTTTGATTTTTAAGAGATGTGAAATGTATTGTTCTTGTATTTATATTTAATTGATTAAGCATTAATTATATTTTTTTATCTTATTTAGCGATTGTATTTTTATATAGTGGTTCATATGTAATCAAATAGTTATGTACTATTTATTTTAACCAATGATCAAATTTTAAAACATAATATCATTATCTAATTTATATTTTTATTATTATATGCATAAATATAACTTATAATATTCTATGTTTAAAATATAATATCATTGTTTAACTTGTAATTTTAATACTATATGCATAAATGTAAGTTATAATATTTTATTTTCACTGTGAAAATGCACAGGGTCGAATACTAATAGTATTTTATTAGTGAATTTTCGATAATCATTGTGAAGCTTCAAAGGTTGAATTTATACATGAAAAAAGTAGAAACATAGTAATTGTCATGTGTCAACTAAGGGTATGGGAGACGCTTCTTCATTAAAAAACTCGACTTTTGATGATGAAACCGGCTGGGCGATCGCTTTACCAGTTTGCTTTATTAGTTTTTCGTTCATAGAGAGATTGGCAAAAAGGGGCTAGCTGGTAGATGGACACTCAAGTATGGAGGCAGGTCGACACATAGTAGTCCGACAAATTCTTCTTGGGCTTTTCCCTTTACAATTCGGGCCTAACCTGTTATGGGCAATCTTTATTGCGAGTGGCATATTTTTTTACTTAAAGGGTCGGCCGATAGCATGTGTAACAATTTGTGCATAACAATGTTTTTTTTGCCGAATATAGTTAGTCATATGAAAAGATAAATTTTGGATCAACTAAAAAGCAGTCGGGTTGTGTTTGCAACAATTATTTTTCGAAAATGTTTTGTGGCTGAGTTTTAGTATGATGTGCTTCGGCATTTTATCATGAGCGAATGATTTTTTATTTTGGCGACATTTGGCATTTCGCCATAAATGAAGGTTTTTTTTTTTTTTATATATATCTCGAACGATTTTGGCCTTGATCGGCGTTTCAACGTGAGTGATTTTGATCTCAAACGGTTTGGTCATGTTCAACGTTTCACTGTGAGTGATTTTGACCTTGAACGGTTTGACCATGTTCGGCATTTCACTTGAGTGATTTTGATCTCGAACGATTTGACTATGATCATTACTTGTCCGCAAAATAGCACTCCTCAAATTTCTTCGAACATGTACTTAAACTTCCTTTTTTCTTTTTAAGTCAAGACGTTATGTCGGAGAGTAGTGATTACGGCAGGATTAATGATAATAAAACAAATCGTAAGAAACATCAATCACTTTCTATACATTTCGTCATATTTTTAAAAAATAAAACTACTTTAGTATAAACCTTTGTCCTAATCAATGACATAAATGATGTATATGAGTAAGCATTGTTGATTTTAAAGTTGATGTGACGGTAAAACAACTAGATTTTGCCATGTATGTATTATGTCAAACTTTACTTTATGTTACTATACCATCCGAGCAAACAAAGAAAAATGTCCTCGACTTATAAACATGATCTCTACATTCACGAGTTACTTTTATTCAATATGAATGCTTTTATTACTTTGTTAAATGGAGCACGTAAAGGAAAAAACAAATGAAAAAAGAAATAGAAAAGCACAAAATGTAGGCCCAAACAAGTTTCCAAATATTAATGAAGTCCACATTCACATGAAAAGTGAGTGAAAAGGAAACCGAGTCCTATTCCAGTAGAAAGAGTCAAAAAAAGGAAGAGTCAACATAAAAGTTTCAAGTCCACATTCATACTTTTGAATTTTTATGGGCTTCTTCTTAATTTGGTGGTTTTACACCACTTAAAAAGAAAATTCCTATATTTAGAATCAACCGAG